TGGAAAAGAAAAAAAAAATCTATTCAAAATTTATTGCAGGCAGTAATACTCTCTCAATATCATTGCTGTATTTTGTTCTTTGTCGCACGAAATTTTCCGTAGAGTGTAAACAAAAAATTATTTGAGAAAATTTTGTGGGTTCTATTAAAATTTGGAAAGGAAAAATCTTATTGCGATTTTATGATCAGAGAAGGCTACTACACAGGATCAATTAATCGGGAGACTAATTCAGGAATAATTGTGGGAGTGGTAGTCATAGAAAAAAAAACAGGATTGAAAGGGGAGAGAAATGAGGAAAATTACTGCTCGGAGCGCAATATTGGAAATTTCTGGAAACGGCAAAGAAAAAAAAATTATGATAATAATTTTGCGTGCACCAACATGTTTGACATTTCCTCTCATCATTATAAATAATTCAATCTCTGGCGAGAAACTAGAATTTTTCGAGGATAGCTTTGAGAACACGAACCCTAGGAGATCTGGTATTGTAGATCAATTTTAAATGAAAAAAGATGAAAATGAAATTCCGATACTACTTTGATCCAGGAAAATGTATTAGAAAATTTGGAAACGAAATACTTTCGGAAAGTGACAGACCAGAACTCCGCAGGGTGCTTCATTGCTAGAATCTATGTTTTGAGAGACTACATAGTTAATCTGCTTTTATCCTATTAAACTACCAAATATGTTCATTTCATTTGTAAGGGTTCGGTCGTCAGGGTTTAAGATAAGTTAAATATGTCATGGCTCATAAAGTTTTAAATGTCAGTATAAATGTTACGATTTCCATGTGCAAAATCAATTTTTGAAGACATTTTTCTGTTGCAGATTTAAATTTGTAATGTGAAGTGAAGTAAAATCGCGTAGTTTTGCTTCGTGTGGAACACATTGGAGACTTTCTTACAGGAGTAAGAAGAATTTAATTGTGGTAGTGTGACGTGTGGAGATATTCACACGTCGATTTTATTCAATTAATATTTTCTAGATAGAAAAAGTCCCAAATGCTCAATAAGCAGTCTCACGGTGACACCTGAGTCCAGCTTCTCAGAATGGAGCTGTTTGATTGTCTTAGCCATTGTCAGTGATGGACATATGGCCGTGTTAGTTAGAAAAACCGTGAGAACACTTATTTAGCATTTTCGGCCAGCAACGACTTTGAAGCTCTGGAATAGGGCAGAGTACGGCAGGAGTTGAAGATGGACGGACGTCCTCTCCTAGCCAAAAATCTATAGTAGATCCGCGTCGAAACCGAACCCATTTAACAGTTGATTTTATACTTTACCTATCTATTCAATATACTGTCAATTATTAATGTAACAGTGGTGCTCGATTGTTTTATACGAAGAATACCTAATCAAATCCTATCCTAGTCGCGTCACGTTAGATCTTGAGAGAAATCCGCGTGAGCTCTGACCGTAGCTAGTTGAGCAAAAGTTTTTGAGTCGACTGGTGACTCAATTAAGGGAGGTAGAAAACCTCTCACGTCACAATATTCTCTCCGTATATTTTATAGCACTCCGTGTGATAAACTCAACGGATTTTTTCATGAAAATATGAATTTTCAGTAACAAAATTCCTTGAAATTTCAAGGTTTATCAGTGCACGGGATGATAAAAAATATCCCAAGTTTCAATTAAAATAATTAACCTTTTCGATATAAACCCATTCGAGACTAAAAATTTATTGATAAATGCCTTAATGGCACGATATTTCCGATTAAAAATCATCAATTCTTTTGAAAAAATTAACGTATTAATTTAACGGTTGAAAAAATAATCGTTTATTCTTATCTATTTTTCATCACGTAAACTTATGCAGCGAAAAATCACTTCTAATTTCATGAAATATCAGGGAGCGGCAAATACAATTACAACTGACTTCACGGCTACTTAAGCAGATTAGGGTGAGGTGATTCTGAGAAAAAGCGTGCAAGGATACTGACGGCGATCGAAACCCGATCATGCAGTTATTCACGATCATACGCCCATACCGCAGGACCGCACCTTAAAAATTGGCTTGATACCGGGTGTGACCCATTACATCCAGTAAATCACAATCAGTAGATTAAAGCCTTTATGAAATATCGGTCAGTAGAGGACTGGTGAAACAGGACGAGTCAATATTTTCCACAAGAATCAATTTTTGTTGAATATGTTGAAATCTAAAAGAACAGCACTAACTTCCTCAGTCTAATTTTGGGATACAGAGTGGAAGCTAAACATCAAAGGCACCAACACTCCGCTGCATCGTTCATAAAAAAAAACAAAAAATGATTCGGGGTCTTTCTATTTATGATTCAAAATTATTAAGAAATATGATTTTTACCCTCAAGTTTTTAAAATAAATATATTAAGGTATTTATGGCGGGGTGGGCAGGTAGGGGTGAGACGGAGGGGAATCGATTGATCTCTTGCAGAAAACCAATCGCTGATAAAAAAAAACAAAATTTCAATTACAAATTTTCAATCTATTTCGACCACTTTTATACTCGAAATATTGTGTTAGTACGTAAAATATCCCCCACAAACAGGTATTTTCTCATTGAATCACATTCAGGGATAGCCATATCCATTGACTATAATTACTTTTAAATTATTAAGTTGTCAATTAGTTAATATCACTTTTAAATTTCAATTATTGAAATAATCAGTCAGTGATCGAGGTAGGAAAAATGACGATTATTTGAAAATCGGAAATCCTTTAAAAGAAATTAAGTATTATCTACATAATAGAATATTTATAGTTCCATATTTTTAAATATTTAATTCATCATCAATTGGAAATTTAGGTTATTAATTATTTTACTATTTTTAAATTTCTATTACTAGATTTAAACTTTCATGTATGTAAGTTGGAAAATTCTTTTTTCATATTGAAGAAATTCATATTGATGGCCATCCCAGATTACATTTCGATCTACGATTACCTTACGTACGTTAAAAATTTGCCACGATTTTCTACGTAATTTTTATCCAGCTTTTCTCTCCGCGTACGAACATCACGCCCCACACCTGTCCAAGTAGAAATAGAAATTTTCGCTCAGACGCGCGAATGTCTAAAATAACCCCTCAAATTCCTCCATTAATACATTCACCTCTCATAACATTTTTATCCCTCACCCTTCAAGGTTACCCCTCAATCAACCGAGATTGTCGAGACGTACCCTCCCCAAGCCGGTCAAACAGACTTCGTTGCGTGTGGCCTGCTTTACCCTGATCTGGGCCAGATCAACAAACTTACACTCAGTTACTCAGAGGTTATTATACGCAGCTTTCTTTTTTTTATAAATTTCCCCTCACTTTTTTTACCTTTATTCTCCTCTCCTTCGGACTTCCTCCACTCAACCCCAAGAAACCCTCGACCCAAACGTTTGAGAAGTGTACGGCTGCGCAGGACACGCGTGGCCACAGTAGCCTCATGAATATAGAGGCCACGTGAGAGTACAAGGCGGGGAGGAAGAAAAGAGTGAGAGAGCCAGCGTGTACTTTAATCGCACACAACGCAGGGGTCGAATATTTACTTTTCTCATTACCCACTTCTTTCCACCCCTCATACTCTGATTTTTTCAACCCGAATGAATCAAATTGTCACGTGTCGCTCAACTCTGAATTCTAATAAACACGCTTGTTCCAGTTAGTTCTTTTAATCCAGATTTTATTTGCGGATCCAATCGATGAATTCATTGATCTCCGACGATTGCAAATTTAAACTAGTGCGTTTGGTGGCCTGCCTTACGGCAATCCAATTTTCTTCCATAAATGATATACGACTGAAAAAAATGATGTGCAAAATGACCAGGCGAAAAAATATTGTTAATTTATCACTAAAAATAGCTATACTATATGAAGACAAAAGCAATTTCCCACTTGTTTTAATTTCATTTTCTTTTCACGGTCCTCTGATCTTCATTTTCAATGAAAAACAACAAGCTGAGTATTGAAAAAAAATAACAATAAAAGCCTGACCTAGTAGTTGCGGGAATATTGAAAGAAACAGTTTTCACAAAAAGTTGAATATCTCAGAAAGTAATATATTATCACAACAGCACACAATAAAAATAAAAAATACAAATTACTATTAAACTTTCCAGAGTTACTTGATTCGATGGATATTATCGTGAGGCTTATTTTGGCGTAAAAAATTCAATTCAATGGAATATTTGAAACAAAAGATTTTTGAAAAATCTTTGTGTCAAAAAAGGATGGACCGATTGAGTTGAAATTGGCCTAGAAATGTACCCAAACAATAAACTGTTGGAAATTTTTTTGAAATTCAATTAATAGCTGCATTTGAATGTTCAATTTCCTGAATTTGAATTCCACTCAACATTCAATTACAAGCCAAGTCGCCTCTCTACAGAAGAACATGACCTATAATAATAACATCCTATAGTTCATGGAAGTTCAACAAAATTGAATTTTTATATTTTAAATGGAATTTCCAATAAATTAAACAATTCAGAACAATAGTTGCCAAAATTTTCCCAATCTCCACCAATTTTAATTTACATTTTCTATTTTAATTTACACAGATGAAAATGAAGATTTTATGTGAATTATTTGTTGTCAAGAATCTCAAGATTCTTCACGAGCAATTTTCTAACAGTGTATCAATAATGGGATAATTTCAATTTTCAGCTATTTTTTTTCCTTCCTTGTGAGCATTTATATTAAAAATGCACACATACTTTTTTTTGTAAAACATATGTTTACGTTTGATGACTGATCAGAATAAATTCCACTGGAAATTAAAAAATTATCAAATTGATCAATACCATAGCTCCATTTTGGAAGCAAAAAGCGCAAAGATATCAATAAAAAAACTTTTAAAAAATCTTACGAATTGATTATTCCATTAGCGCAAACACTAATAAGAAACAGCACGTGTTTTGTTGATCAATACGTCATGAATTCTAATCAGCACAAACCGTAGCATAAACACGACAACATTGAAGAAGTTGAAAGAAACACTGAAGAATGATCAAATGTAACAAATTTTACCTTAAAAGTCTTGTAACTGGAGACAACGTAGGACGCCCCGTCCTCGAGTTCGTCGAGATTGAGTTTTCTGTCACCGTCCATGGAGAAAATGTGCCTAGCACCCCTGGGCAGATCGAGACGCAGGGAGAGTCGATCGAGGAGGGCTTCGAGCGAGCCAATGTCACGTCCGGGCTTGAACCTACACAACACAACGTCACATAATTCACATGACTCACATAAACGCTCTCAAGGACGCCCAAGACCCTAACATTGATGTTTCATAAAGAAAGAAAAGCATGGTTTTCTGAACGATTATTAATGATTCCTAAACACGTAACATAGTTTCCTAAAAGTTTGAGAGACTGTCTTAAGTGCTTAGAAGGTTTTCTAATGATGTAAGACCACTTGCTGAAGTGCACGGGGAGTATCGTCATAATTCAGAAGTGTCTTAACATTGCGGGAATTTTCTACTAGTTCAGGACAATTTCCTGAGCCTTTGGAGAATAATTTAAGAGGGAGCTCAGGAAACTTCTTGATGATTTTAAACAATTACTTGAATGTTAGGAAAACTTCTAATGATTTCAACCACGGCTTTAACTGCTTGCGAGAATTTCTCGTAATTTCGGGCTATTCGTAAAATGCGTAGGATGCTTTCTGATGATGGATAAGATTCTTGAGTGCTTCATAAGCTGCCCAATGTTTGAACAACTTGTTATTATGTATTAGGGCAATGACCTGATGACTTAGAAAGCTTTCTGTTCATTGAGAATTGTTTTCTCAGTAGCTAAGATACTTTTCAACAATTTAGGACGGTGTGGTATCTGTTTAGTTAGCTTTCTGATCATCTAAAATTGTATTCCAAGTATTTAGACAGACAATCTGTAAAGTTTTTAATAATGTGCCAATTTTCGGATAATTTAAGAAAGCATCTCAAGTGCTTGGGAGATTTCTAATCGTTTAAGCCGGTGTTCCAATTGCTTAGGACCATGATCTGACTACTAAACACGTAAAATAGTTTCTTAAAAGTTTGGGAGAGTGCCTCAAAGGCTTGGAAGGCTTTCTAATGATGTAAGATCACTTGCTGAAGTGCTCAGGGAGTATCTTAATAATTTAGGGATGTCTTAGGATGGCAGGAATTTTCTACTAGTTCAGGACAATTTCCTGAGCTTTTAGTGGATGTACTGATGAAACATGATGATATCATAAGGATTGAAAAAGCTTCCTAATAATTCAGACCACTGTCTTACGGGTCTTGATTGCTCACAAAGCTTCGTAATGATTTTAAACAATTACTTGAAAGTTTGGAACACTTTCCAATGATTTAAGCTTCTGTCTTAAGTGTTTGCGAGGCTTTCTGGTAATTTCGAGTTGTTCTTAACCCTCTAACCTGACTATCATTTCTACTTGTTTTCTCGGCGCGAGAGTGGGGTGAGCCGAATCGCACGCTACACGGGGACCGTGAGAAAAAGCTTATTCAGTAAAAAGGCTTAACATTCGTAGGATGCTTCCTAAATAGTTTGAACGATGTTCTCAGTGCATAGAAATCTTTCTGATGATTCATAAGTTTCCTGAGTGCTTCGTAAGTTGTCCAATGTTTGAACAACTTGTTATGAGGATCTAGGGTATTGACCAGACAATTTAGAAGCTCTATTCATTCAGAATTGTTTTCGAAGTATCTAAGATGATTTTCAATAGTTTAGGACTGTGTGGTATGTAGTTAGTTAACTTCCTGAATATCTAAAATCGTGTTCTGATTGTTGACATTTTCTTGAGTGCTCAGAAAGACTGCCTTTAAAGGCTATCTTTCTAAGCATTCAAGTTTCTATTAATATGTTAATTTTAGGATAATTTGAGAAAGTATTTCACGTGAGATTTCAAATCGTTCAAAAGCGATTAGTAAACCTATAAACCTATTCAGGAAAGTTTTTAATGATGCAAATCTGTTTTCTCAGTATCTAAAAAGCTTTTCGATCATTCAAGGCAATGTGCACTTGGGTAGCTTGCTGATGATCTGAAATCTTGTACGAAGTGCTTAAAAAGCTTCCCAGGGATTTAGAATCATGCTGTGAGTGCTCAAATCTCAGAAAGCTTTCTAAGGGTTTTGGACAGTTTTTGAAGTACTTAGGAAGCTTTCTAATAATTCAAAACCGTACTCCAAATGCTCAAATAATTTCTTGGTAATTTAGTATAGCTTCGTATGCGCTCAGGAAGGTTTCTAATCGCTCAGAACCGTTTTTCAGTTGCTTAGGACTATGGCCTGAGTGCTTATGAAGCTGTTCAATAATTCAAGATGGTATGTTGTGAGTTAGAAAACTTTCTGATGATTTGAAGTCGTGTCCTAAGTACTTGGAAAACATCGTAATCAGTTAGAACAGTATTCTGAGTGCTTAGGAATCTCCATAAGCCTTGAATACAATATTCCTAGTTCTTAGGCAAGTTTCTAATAATTCAAGATGGCGTTTCTAGTCCTTATCAAACTTTCTAATGGTTCAAGACTCTGACCCAAATACATGGAAAGCTTTCATGTAATGCAAGAAAGTGTCTTCAGTACTTTGGAATTTTTTCAAATTGGTTAGGAGTATATTATTCTCTTTTCAATCAAATACTGTGAAATTTGAACAATTCCATGATTTAGGATTAAACTGTGAACGTTTACATTAAAAAGCTTCCCAAGGATCTAAGAGTCTCCGAAGTGTTTAGGAAGCTTTCTCATAATTCAAAACCGCGTTTCAAGCGCTCAAACCTTTTCTTGGTAACTTAGGATCACTTCATAAGTGCTCAACAAGATTTCTAATTGCTCAAAACCATTTTTCAATTGCTTAGGCCTATGCCTTGAATACTTCGGAAGCTCAAGAATTCAAGACAGTATGTTGTGAGTTGGATACCTTTCTGATGATTAGAACTCGTGTCCTAAATACTTGGAAAATATCCTGATCAGTTAGAATTGTATTCTGAGTGCTTAGGAAGCTTCATAAGCCTTGCTCAGATTAAAAAGCTTCCTAACGATCTAGGACAGCCTCCGAGAAATTTCGGAAGTTTTCTAATAACTCAAAACCGTGTCCGACGTGCTCAAACAATTTCTAGGTAACTTAGGATAGCTTTGTAAGTGCTGAGGAAGGTTTCTAATCGCTCAAGACGGGTTTTCAATTGCTTAGGACTATGGCTTGAGTACTTAGTAAACTTTTCGAGAATTCAAGACAATATGTTATAAGTTCGGTAACTTTCTGATCATTTCAACTCGTGTCGTAAGTGCTTGGAAAACGTCCTAATAATTTAGAACAGTACTCTAAGTGCTTAGGCAGTTGCATAAGCATTGTTCAGATCAGAAAGCTTTGTGAGGATCTGGGACAGTCTCCGGAGCACTTAGGAAGCTTTCAATAATTCAAAACCGTGTTCTAAGTGCTTAAACAATTTGTTGGTAACTTAGAATATTTCTGAGTGCTGAGGAAGCGTTATAAGCCTGCAACCATATCCCATGTGCATAAGCAATTTTCTAATGATTAAGAACAGTGTTTCCAGTACTTTTCAAGCTTGGAAGGTTTTCATATAATGCAAGAAGGTGTCTTCAGTGCTCAGAAATTTTTGCAAATTGATTAGAAGTACACTAAGCTCTTCTCAAACAAACCCTAAGAAATTAGAACAATTACATTGGCATTGATTTACCTGAATTCAACTCCTGGAAAATAAGGATCACCATTCTTATAAAATGTGACACGTCGAGCCCTCCAGTATCCAAGATTGTTGTATCTCGTTGTTGTATTGGAGAGACTATCGTGTCGGCTCTTCGGCCTTTGCTCAGGCTGCTCAGGAGGCGGCATGCGGGGACTGGAGGGTCTGCTGTGCCTCCAGTAGCCGCCCATGCCGCCTCCACCGGCACCCCCACCACTCAACTCCATCGTTTCCATTCCACGCGCCGACGTTTCGTGCTCTCCTGCACCTATACCACCACCCATTGATCCCATACCGCCAACACTAGTGTCCACTACTCTTGCGCCACCATTACTACTATTACCAACCATATCGTCCTCCTCGTCCTCCTCCTCTTCGTCCTCATCGTCGTCGACGCTCTCATCGTCGATAGCATGATCCTCAACTACGTTAACGGAATTTTCAGTACCGACGGATTTCAACATTGAGCCCGACATACGGCTTGGCGTCTTCGTTGAATCGTCGCAGTGGGGCGCCTCCTGCTTGTCCGCTGAATCTTGGGGGTTTGGATGGGTGGATGTGCCGTTTACGTTGGAGGGAGTTGAGACACCGTTCATTTCTTCGTGATGACTTATACCCGAATTTGCACGCGATTGAGCACACGATTGCTGCTGAGGATTTGCTGCTATCATTTCACAATTTTTTTTTGTATTTTGTTGGTATTTCAAATAATTGAGGTGAAGTTCAAGACTTTGGTTCAATTAATTTTTATATTCTTTATAAATAGTACTTTAATTTGTTTTTAATTTATTTTGCGTAATTTACTAGTTTACTCAATGAAATTTTAATAGTTAATTTTAATTAAATAGTTAATTACTAATAATTCAATGACTTATTAATAATTTTCTCAAAAAATTGGTTAAATTCGTGCAATGAAGAAAAATAGAATGATTATAGTTTATTCATCCGAACGAGTTGGAATAGAAATGTTTCCTGTTTTATTTTATCGTTAAATTCCAGTTAAGGTCGATGGTGATAAAAACTATTCGTGCCTCTCCGTAAACAGCAGCGAAAAATGAAAAAGAAACTTGCACTTATGAGTTGACTCAGGTGTAGGTGCAAGTCACGTGTCGCGTGATTGCAGGGATAATCCGGCTTTCTGGATCGATTGAGCACTTTTCAAATGACCAGTAGCTGTAGAAGTGCCTTCCGCCCTCGAAATTGTGGATAAAGGTCCCTGAGAGACTCTGAATAAGCGTGACGTTGATTTTACAACTGCAGGTGGCCTTTTACTATGCGTTTCACTGCGGTTATTCTTTTTTTTTATCTGCAGGTTTCGACGGCCGATGAGTTGGCAAGACGTTCAATCGATATGCGTCTCCCTCATCGCTTGCTTTCCTCACCTTTTTATGCACCTCTCGGATAATTACAGGAGTGAATTAGTTAAGAGATAAGAATCCATTCGCTATTTCCTTTCAAAAGAAGGAAAATAAATATGGAGATCGATATTTTGGGTGGATGATGTTTTGCAGCTAATGTCGCACTTGCTGAGGTACTCTAATACACTCGATTCATCCGTGCATTGCCCCCTAGACACGCCGCTGAGTACACGAGGGACGGGGTCGAGAACCTCTTCATCAGGGTCAGTTACAAAACCACTCACCGCACAATTAAATTCACACTTTAATCAAGTGATTAAATGCACTGAGAGCAATCCCTTTATCAACGTCAGATGAATGTCCTGTTCACCACCTCCACAGAATATTCATATAATTCACAATTATTGAAGCCCTTCGAATATAAATCAACTCGTATCCCTGGAATTATGAATAAATAAAATCTCATTTGCTGAAATAATAAGATCCGATAAGAGTAATTCTTATCGCAATATCAATCCAGTGTCCCCACGTCTCTCACTTTTAGTCTAGGTAGTTACTCACTTAAAAATCAAATTTATTCACCTTCATCGCTTCTAATCAACGTCCAATCAGCAACGAAAATTAATCACTCACTTATTCGTCAACTCATTAGCGACAAAAAATCATTAGAAACCGTATGTCCAATCATCCATTGCTCATTAACCATCAGAATCCACACTAAATCCACGAATTTCAATGAAAAGTCGGAGTGTTTTTGTCGGCAATTGTTTAGCTTCAATATTCATTAAAATCTCCACCAGACGGATGTCTCAAGACATATGATCCCCAAAACTGTATTCAGTTACCACCAACTCCCAGTACATGAAATCCCTTGAAATGTAAATTGAGTTATGCTCTGTGTGTGCTCTTACGCGATATTGAAATCAACTCAAAAGTTTACATATTCATGTAACAGTGCGCGCCTCCTTCGACGGTGGCGTCCCAACGTCGAGTGTGTCGCTGTTGGACTTTGGTACGGTACGATTGGTGAAGGCGCGTCGGCGTCGAGGGGATTGAGAAAACAGAGAGTAGCCCCCCTCCTCCCTCTCGACTGGTGTCAGTGAACCGGAGGAGAGCGCAAGAGCCACCCTCTTGAACTTGTTGCTCTTTTGAGAAAGGCTTTACCTCTTGCCTGGCTAGCTTTCCACTGCTGTGCTATCAACGATTTGCCTGTCTCTCCTTTCTTCCATATTGGAGCGACGAGGAGAGAGTGATGAGAGTGAGCCGCAACGATGGATTATTGACGCAAGTAGCTGATTGGTCGGCTTGGTAACCACCATAGTACCACCCTCCTAGCCGCATTGGATGTACTTCCGGAATGGCCGACGAAAGCGCATCGGGAATCAACGGTTCACTGACGGTGATATTCGATTTTTAGGAAGGGGGAGGGGGAGCGATGGGAACAGGGTATTGTGAGGGAATTGGGCTATTTTTATGCAGAAAAAGAGGAGTTTTGGTTTTCATGGACATGTCGCCGATTTTCAGGAATCTATCACCAATTATTGCACGGAGAAAATAAAATAGTGAAGATTACTATTTCGAATCCGCACATAGTCTACGTTACCAAAGTTTTTTAAGTATTACTATGGATATGGTAATGGCTACCATGGAACATTGTAATGGTCACTATGGGGCATAGTAAACTCCTCAATAGTAATAGGCACTCTGGACGCAGAGTGAAAACTTGCTATCTTAACATAGTAACGATTACTATGCGAATAAAATAAAGCTTACTATGTTAAACTGGTAAAGCTTACTATATTACAAGGTAGAGCTCCCTATATTATGTAAAATGTTCTATAACCCATAATGAAATTATTATAAACAATTAAAGACCATTAAGGAATGAAACATGAGTAAATCAATGTTAAACACAGAAATATCATTAATTCAAGAACGAGAATTTTTTTGCTGTAAGGACCATCGAAAAGAGAAATCATGTTCTTGAATGAAATAATGGTTTTATTCAGAGAGCTCCTGATAGAGCCCATTAAAACCTAAATTAAATTTCCAGTTGCATATTTATTCATATCAAATGAATAGTTTTATAAATGTAAACAAATACTTTCTTCATACAAGTAAAGACTTCATTAGTTAGAAATGGAATCATTGTCTAGATGGCAAAGAAAAAGAATTTATTGAAGGGTAATAATTCTCTGTTTGAATTAAATAAATTGTTTACTTCTAATTGATTATCTAATGAATGCACTTTTTTTTTTCCTATTTCATTGGTTTTATCGAAGTAATTCTCGATTTGAAACCCCTCCTCTAGCCTGCCTCCCCTCCTTTCTTTTCCTCTCATTGTTATCTGCGGTATCATGGCCGTCTTACTCTTAGCTGTGCCCCATTCGAGCTAGGACTGCACGGGAAACCATGTAAAACCCCAGTCGCACAGCCGGCCGATTGTGCAGTGCCCTAATATATCCATCGGTCACACTGACTAGATGGAGACACTAGGGCCGCTACATCGTACCTACCGCCCGCAATTTTTGTGCGAGCGAGGTGTTCCTAAGCGGTCACCCATCCAAGTACTAACCCAGCTCAACACTGCTTAGCTTGGATGTCCGCTGGAGCAACACCTCACCCACCTAACCATTACAGTCGGTCGTGAATGCACTATTTATTCCATAAAATTGGAGCTTTGGTATTTGAATAAATGTATAAATTTCGCACAAAAATATTGTAGAATTTAATGTTAAAAATTTCAAATAAAGAGTTTAATTTGTTCAATTTTTTAAAAGATTTTAAGCTTCTAGCGTCTTGAGTTTATGAACGCATCAAGAGGCAATTGCCAATTTTAATTGCACAGAAAAAAATCGAGATTGAATTTCGATTTTGAGTTCTAAATTATTATTATTATCTATTATTGAATTAATTTACCGATTAAATTGTAGTTGAATCACTTAATATTTCTATCAACTGAATAATAAAACATTCAAGTCGAAAAAAATCGAGATGGAATTAATATCGAAGATTTGAAGTAGAGGTTTTACGAATTGCGCGGTAGACTAGTGGTTAGGGCGTCAGATTAGTAGTCGTGAGGTCGTGGGTTCGAGCCCACGTTAGGGGGTAATATTTTAAGTTAACAAAATCGGTTTTTCAGCGATGATTGCGTTAGGGTTTGGTAGGTAGGGCACAATCAATACTAAAAATCATCCTAAAAAATGTTAATTATTTTGTTTTTGTTATTATTGATAATTGCCATGAA